ATATATATATATATATATAAAACCAGTTAAAACTGATGAACAGTGCTCAAAAAATTAGACCGAAATTGGTCAAATAGTGCCTGAGAAATGTAATTTTAAAAAAATTGTGTGTTTAAAATTCATTTTCTTAGGAACTTATTTGATTGATATCTTTCAAAATTTGCATTTTCCCATTCCTTAAAATGGTGCAAAAAATTGTAAACCTTATAATTAAAATTTTTGTTACTATTATTAAATAAAGTGATAAAAAATAATAAATATTTACTAAAAGTTATTTTTGCATGGAATTACTTGTGGAATTATCTTTATACGAGTTTTTTAATTGTGTTCAAATTTTTTTCAATTCGCTTGAAAAGCTCTCGAGAGTCTAGAGATACGGCGAAATACGCAAAAAGTAAAATTATCATTACAGGTTCCTAACTTTGAACCTCTGCTTTGATCAAGCAATTTTGGCCATATTTCCTAGATTCTCTTTATATTTTGGCGACCAGAAATTCGTATTAAAATATTAGTTGAGTGTCATATAATATATAATGTGTAATGTAAATAAATAATTACTTTTTTTAAGCTTTGATTTCAATTCATATTCTGAATAATGAGTTCATTGATATTTTAAAATTATTGTTTCAGGAAAAAGAATGTTTCTCATTTTTTTAATGTGTATCCGTGCTTTTGAGAATACTTTCGAATTTTCGATTGCCCTATATCTGTAACATAATTCGTGTATGGGTCATCCATAATTCAGTGCCCCTTGATGCCCACTAGAAAAATGTTATTTCTTGTCGGTGTTAGGGCCTAACACTTTTTTCTTTATAACAGTGGTTTCCAACTGGCGGCCCGCGAAGCCTTTTTTTTGTGACCAGCGTACTAAAATATATTATTTGTTGTTTTTTTGTGGGCAATTTTCGTAAAAAATCTATATGGGTTTAAAATGCTTTTCTTTCGTTTAAAAAAAACTGATTTCTTCGTTTCTGTAAAAATTAATATACCAACGGTGCAAAAAAATTTATTTCTCAGGTTTTGTATCCAAGAAAATATTTATTCAAATGCAAAAATAATCGTGTATGTTGCTTTTTTTTATTTCGTTTTTTTTTTGTATTTTGTGAATATAATTTAGCATGTGCGTATCATAAATTTTCTCGAATAAATTCTCCCACATAACTTTTTGAAATCATTTGTTTAGGACGAAATTACTTACATTTGTAATTTTAAAACGCATAAAAGAGGGAATAAATTTCATGCTTTATTTAAATTTCTTGAATTGAATATCGCATGAGCGAAAAAGAAAAAAAAATAACTTCATATGCTCGAGAATTTTTTGTTGTGGCTATAATTCCTAATAAGTCAAAAAAAAATTTAATTTATCACAGAATTAAATTTAAAAGAAAAAAAATCTTGTCACTTAGTTTCTGATTAAAAGAAGATTCAAAATGATACGTAATAAGTATTATTTGTAATGCTTGTTACTTTACTTTTTAATATTAAAGAGACTTTGATAAAAATCTAACAGCAATATTTAATGTTCCTTAAAACATAAAAGAGTCCTATATAAAATTTTGAAAAAGTTGTGGCTCGCCATTTGACTGGTGTTAATAATTGCGGCCCCAGCCGCAAGTAAGATCTCTGCTTTATAACATAAGCTTAATAGAACTTTTCATGTCAAAAAAAGTTAAGACACATTCTAAGAAAAATAGTCTTTTAAGGAATAAAGAAATTTATTGAAAGAGAGCTAAAAATATAATTGCTCGAAACATAAAACTAAATATTTCCTTCTCAGAATTGTTTTCCTGAAACGAAATACTTTGCTTCGTTATATTTTATATTTGCGTTCAATACTCAAAATTACATTTTGAAATATAAAAATTATTAATAGAATTTCGAGAGAGAGATTGTTTTGTAACCTAAGGATGTTAGCCGGAAACGGACTGCTGCGGAAAATATCCTTGTAGTAATTTTGTGTAAATGTACAATGTCATGTTGTGTATTTATACAATGCCCTCTAGAAACCTGTCTGATGGCACCCCTTTGGTAACCTGACAGCAGACCAGCCCGTGAAGTCGAGCACTTTATGGTAGAACAGTATATCGAGGACTTAAACAGCTTACACTCGGTCCCTTCGCAGGCTGATGATCAAAGTGAACATCCAACTGCTCACCGACAGCTGCCAGTGATACTTGACAACTTCAGTGGTCTACTGGAAGCAGTGTCTTAATAATCTGTCCACTGCGGGACAATTTTTGTTCGAAGTTAAGAAAGAAAATCAAGCAGCAGGGGACTTTACATACCCTTTTAGATTACGAGAGAAAATTACTTGGTATCTTTTTGATTCAAATGAAAACCTTGCGTGTAAAATATTTTGGTTCTCTCTTGAATAAAAAAAAAGTTACAATGTGTACAATACTCACTTCCAAAAGTCAAGCATGATGACAAAATTTGAATTTTCGAAAGCCTACATGAATTGAAGTTGTAGAGGAGGCATACAAATACAGCAACTAATCACGGTTTCGTGTTAAGAAATATACAAGACAGACAGCAGATGGCTTTGTGAAAGTTTAGGGGAGTTGTATTTAAGAGTAGATAAAAAGAGTTTAGATCATCTCTATAATTCTTTTTCAAGTCAGATTTGTTTATATGGCTTTCAGATAATGAATAAAAGGCTTTGAACCCTAGTAATCATTTGATGTTGTAGCCTAGAACAATCAAAGAGTGAACTAAGGTAGACAACGTTAAAGAGCACAAAAATATTATTAAAAGCAGACAGCTGTTTCGGATGCTCAAAGGGCAACCTTCATCAGTGCAACAGAAAACAGAGTAAATATATATAGAAAGATGACGTCACAAGAGGGTTTAGACCAACGGCCAATAGGAGGGAAGGGTGAATGGAAGACGACGAATAGGAAGCAAGGAAAAAAAGGGGGGGGTTAGTTAGGTTTTATCATAGATTTCCAAACAGGAGAAATATAAGGAACACTTGATAGGTCATTGACCAACAGTTTGGAATTTTTGAAAATATGATAAGACTCATAAAAATCTAAATCATATATTGAGGAACAATTTTGAATGACTTTAGAAGAGGAAAAATTAAAATTATGATTAGAGTCCCAACAATGTTGGGCAATAGATGAGCGTTTAAATTCTTGTTTTTTGACATAAGCTTCATGTTCCTTGACACGGCACTTTAAGGCACGCTTAGTTTGGCCAATATATGAAAGGCCGCATTGGCAATTAATTTGGTATATACCCCAGTTATTTTGACTGTCAATGGGCTGTTTGAGATTAGAAAATTTTATCTTATTAATGGGACTGAAAATAATATTGAAATCAAACTTCATTAGGATGTTAGCAACTTGCCGACTTATTTTAGGAAAATAGGGTAAAATTACCAAATTGTTAGAAAATTCTTTGGAAGGTTTATCGGTAGGCGATTGTTTAGTTACGTTTTTATAAATATTATCAATAATGCTAGGGGAATAACCTCTGTCATGAGCAATGGCTTTGATGTAGTTTAATTCTGCATCAAGAAGATCAATATTGGAACAAATATTAACAGCACGGTGGACAAAAGACCGAAAAGAGGCAAGTTTTTGGTTGGGAGGGTGGGCGGATCTGTAATGAGGGGGAAGAGAAACAGCAAAAGGTTTACGAAAGACAGTAGTATGGAATGAATTATCATTCCGAGTCACAAGCACATCTAAGAAAGGAAGTTTTTGATCAGACTCTAATTCAAAGGTGAACTGAATGCAAGAATCAATGCTGTTCATAACATTAAGGATTTGATCTAAATTACAATTATTTTCCTCTAACAAAGCAAAACTGTCATCAACGTATCTTTTATAAAAGGGGAAAGTTAAGATTTTGAATAGTTTACTCTCAAAATAATGCATATAGATGTCACTAAGTATAGGGCTCAAAGGATTTCCCATGGCAAGACCATTGGTCATACGGTAAAATTTGTTGTCAAACGCGAAAGTATTTTGTTGTAAACAAACACGGGTAAGGTTAACATATTCATTGACCTCATATTGGGAAAAATGATATTCCGAAAGTCTAAGTTTTAGGCATTCCAAAGCCCCCTCAACAGGAACATTAGTGAACAGTGATTTTACATCAAATGAGGCCATCAAATAACCATTAGGTTTTAGATTTTTAACTTCTTTAACAAACTCAAGGGAATTTTTGGTAGTAAAAGAATTATTACCAAGGAGAGGGGAGAAGACAGAAACTAAAAATTTTGCGAGTTTGTAAGACGAGGTACCAATGTTGGAGACAATTGGTCTAAAAGGAGTGCCAACTTTATGTACCTTAGGTAAAGTATAAAATCTAGCGCAATGAGAAACAGAGGGAGTCAAAACAACCTTAAGTCTATTGGGAATTAACATAGAGGATTTAATAGTTGATTTTATAACATTTAATTCTTTAGTGCTCGGATCTTTGGGAATTTCTTTATAAGGACCTTCAAGAATAAGTTGTTTAGATTTCTCCAAATAGTCTGTTTTGTTTAGAAGAACAATTTGACCACCTTTGTCAGCTTTGGTAACGATTAAGTTGGGATTGGACTTTATATCTTTAAGAATTACTTTAGAGGAAAGGCTAAGGTTTGAATTAGATATTTTTGAGTTGAAGTCTACGGTATTGGCAATAAGGTGTCTGATAGAATCTTTTTGAGCATCATTAATTTTACTGAATTTAAAAGATCTTTCGATAGGAGCAATGAGTTTAGGTAATGAAGGTCGAGTTGAAATAGCAAAATTATTGTTAAGTTTTAAAGCATTAATTTGAACATCAGTAAGAGTGGTATTTGAGAGATTAACTACAGAATTTTGATTAACAACAGGCAAACTAACGTCAGGTTTTTTATCATTAACTTTGATGAGTTTACTCAACTTATTATTCAGGTTTAAACTATGTTTTGAAGAGATTTTGGTTGCCCTATTCCAAGACGATTTTTCCATTGCGTCAAAATTTGAATTTAGATTAGGCACACTGATGTGTAAATGGTACAATTCGCGTTCAATTTTGGATAGTTTATTCCTAGTTTCATTAATGACGGCTCTAAGGAGAGCAAACTTAGTCTTGTGAAGAATGCAATTAACTTTCTTGGAATAAGGAAGGTTAGTCTTAAATTTAATGAAATGAGGAATAATATTTAGGCGTTTACAATCAAGTAAAAAATGCAAGTGATTAAGATACCTAAACTTCTTAGTCCTTAGACTATGAAATCTGTTGAATTGAATGATCAATGAAGTATAAAATACTGATAGGAAACAGCAATAACAAATATGAAAGACATAGAATAGAATGGAAACAATAATAATAATAAGACTTACCCAGTAAGACCAGTTGAAGTTAATTATAAATACACAAGTGGGCGACCTTTGTGCTAAAATACGAACTAAGGTAGACAACGTTAAAGAGCACAAAAATATTATTAAAAGCAGACAGCTGTTTCGGATGCTCAAAGGGCAACCTTCATCAGTGCAACAGAAAACAATAAGAGAACAGAGTAAATATATATAGAAAGATGACGTCACAAGAGGGTTTAGACCAACGGCCAATAGGAGGGAAGGGTGAATGGAAGACGACGAATAGGAAGCAAGGAACAAAAAGGGGGGGTTAGTTAGGTTTTATCATAGATTTCCAAACAGGAGAAATATAAGGAACACTTGATAGGTCATTGACCAACAGTTTGGAATTTTTGAAAATATGATAAGACTCATAAAAATCTAAATCATATATTGAGGAACAATTTTGAATGACTTTAGAAGAGGAAAAATTAAAATTATGATTAGAGTCCCAACAATGTTGGGCAATAGATGAGCGTTTAAATTCTTGTTTTTTGACATAAGCTTCATGTTCCTTGACACGGCACTTTAAGGCCGACTTGCATTTTAATGGATGATAATGCATGTCCCAATAGAGATTTCATTGTTGAGATAACAGTAAAAGAAAATTTTCGAGATACCCTAACAGAGATATGTGTGCACGTTTCTACAGCCACTCTCGCAGATTTGGAAACGGCTCTACCGGAAGAATGACAATTCTCTTGTAGAGATTAATTTGTAGAAAAGCGTTTGGTACCTGTTTAGGTTAATAGAGAAAACTTCGTGCTTTTTTGATGTAAGATAAAACCATACGTGATCGTGGAGCAGACAATTATGCAGTTATAAGAGATACATACATGCACGCACTTTGGTATTATAGTATAAATAAAGAATTTTTAAAAAAATGGTATGCATATTACAACAAAGTATTGTTTCTATTGTGCATAGAGTAACTATTATAGAATAGACAAACAAAATACTACTCTGAACTAAAGGTTCGCACTGACGTAAAAGAAAGTTTACTTCTCTGTTTACTTATGGTGAATAAATTCCTTAACTAATTAGTATTTTTTCAATAATATCTGTTTTGTTTTATTCCTTTAAATATAATCTATTGATCCTAATTGTTTTAATGCTGAAAGTATTTATAAAGCTTTATCTATGTTCAAGTTTTAGAGACATCTAGAACTTTTGATTTGCTTGAATCAATGGTAACGGCGTGTTGAAAAGTATGAAGAAATTGTGTAATCTTGAGGCAGCTATTCACGAAAAGAGTAGTAAGTTTAATGAAAACGTCGTAAAACTGTTTGAAATGTTCTTTCCAATGGTAGTGTTATTGATGACAAATTTTTAATACCATCGTTTCCTGTTTTAAGGGTCATTTATAATGAAATGGTTATTATGGAAGAACATTTAGTTGTTGTTTTTAAATATTAACATTTAATGCTTGCGAATAAAATAGAAACTGTAAATAAACTTACTCATAGTACTTTTCAGTGTTCCATCCACAAAGAAAAATTCTTCTTAGGTAACCACAAAAGGAGTAGAACACCTTCTTGTAGTTACCTGAAATAAAACATCAAGTTGAGAATAGCTTCAAAATATTATGCATCCACCCATTGTTATGTTCTCTAAATGTTCATAAATTGCCATTAATACTCCCCAAATTTTAAAAAGGCAGTAGTTTTTAAAATTTGTTTACCTTTTTAAATGTATGGCGATTGAAACTCTTAAAGAAAAGGAATTCACATCAAACCATATGTCTGATGCGCTTAAGAAGCCAAATTTCTCTAATTGTTCTACACTATTATTACTCAATCTTGTCTTACAGCTAAAAAAGAAGGTATTCGAAGTATCTCTAACAAATTGATACACAAATCGTCATAAGTTATGCATTTTTTTTTAATACAGTTAGTATTTCTTGATACGATAGGAGAAGTACAAAACATTGTCTACTTCGCATTGGTTGCAGAGATATATACTATTGAAAACATTTGCTTAAGCAGAAAAAAAGTTAACGAATTGCTGACATTTCGTCAAAAGTGCGATAATAATACAATATGAAATGCACGTTTTGTTTTAGAAAAGATGAAATTTCAAACGAGTTTTCGTTACTGTCTAACTCTCTAAATACGCAAAATTGCAGGATGTGTCAGACCGAGATTCCGTTTCAGATAAAGCCATTACCTCTTCACGCTGAAACTGTCACTGTATGGTGCTGAATAATGGTAGCGTTTATCGTTGGTCTGTTTTTCTTCGAGGAGATCACACCTGCGAGTCCTGTTACCTGCATTGTCACAGACAAGCGGTAAGAAGCACTTTCGCATAACCATGTCCTTCAAGCACTTCAGCTGCGTCAGTGTGTGATCGCACAATATTCATTCAAGATGGCGCTCCTCCGCTCATTGCTACTTCTGTGAAGCAGCTGCTGAACGCTCATTTCGGTGATCATAGGATCATAAGCCTCCATTTTCTTACAACATGACCGCCACGTTCCCTTGACTTAAACTCGTATGATTTCTAGCTTAGGGAGTACCTGAAGAATGTTGTTTATAGCGGGAAGATTGAGAATCTAGCGAACGTGAAGACAAGTATCATACACCACATCCATTGCTTCAGTACAGATACCCTCCAATCTGTTGTGGAACATGCCGTTTTACGATTCCAATTCATAGCGGAAGAAGGTGGACTTCGCATCGAACAATTTATGAATTTATCAGTAAGATGTTTGTTCCATGAAGCTCTTTTGTTCTTTTTTTTGGCATTATCACTGTTGTCGCTGTAAGCACGTACACTTGTCTTTTCGCTAGTAAAATTTTGATAAACCCCTGAACTCTATTGTTTCCTTTTGGCTAACAACATTCCTATGCGTAAGGAATCCATTTTTGGTCTCTCCCCATAAATTACCCTAAAAGCACCATCTATCGGCAGATTTTTTTTGTTCGTTTTGATTAGTCAAACGAAATTTCATTGCCTCACGATTGTTCTGCTAAAATATCAGTTCATTCAGATGAGTAGTTTTAAAATTATTAATTTTTGAAATCGTAACTTTAATTATAATCACCCTATATTATAGATAGAAATGTTATAACTGTTAAAAAAATCTTGGTAAGCATTTTTTTTATTAACTTCCCGAAAATATACTTTAATGAAATGATTTTCTTACCAGTTTTCAGTCTTGATGTGAATTATTTTTGAGCCTTAGTTTAAACAAGACGTTGAAGCTTTCTAGAAGGTTACTTTTGTTGTTATACTTCACCATTATTGTGGAGAAAAGGGCGGGAAGAAACAGTTAAGTGTGAGCGACGGGCTTTTATCAAGATCTGAAACTTCTAATTTTGTTTAGATATTCCTGAATCTTTTCGTAACAAAAAATAAGAAAATATAAGGTATCATGTTTTGTTTTCAAAGCAAATAACTTATCTGACAATTTACGTTTTTATTCGAATAGTCGATAGTCTTTTTTCTTTTTCATTTTAATTCTGTTAGAAAAAATTTGAACATTCTTCGACGAATAGTTTTTTTTTTAACATTCATTTTGACGCTAAAAACTATAAATAATTTATTTGTAAAGAAAAGCTCAGTCTGTCCATCTAATTACGGTTAAATATATTTAACCATAGTTATATTTAAGTTTACGGTTACATATATTTCTTTGCATTTACGGTTTTGAAGCCATTCACAAACAGCATGGTTTCAAAACCATAAAAATAAAATTTAACTGGACATTGGATTCAGCTTATGTTTGGTAATTTATGGACATTGGAGTTTGGTACTATTTGAGTAGTGTTTTGTCAAGTTAACCGGGAAGCTTAATTAGTTTAGTTAAACGTGTGATCTATCGTGAGAAAAGGGATTCACCAGACTGTGTGGTGTTAAGCTGCTTTGTGGTGCTTCCGCCCGCGAGTGAAGGGGACTTTCTTCTAATAGTCCAGGATCACCAACTAAGGAGTGCGGGTTAATAGTAAGTAAGTTCGTTATGTGCTGAAGGAATGACAGAAATATTGTGTTGTCAAAGACGGGATTCGAACCCCCGTTCAGGCGGTTATTAGATTGACAGATTAGCCCTCTCCGTTACATTATGTACCCAGTTTTAAGGAAATAAGAGGATTTATTAGATGGGCTTAGTAGGCGTGAATAAAATTCTGATTGTTTTACCGTATAAGATGAAAACTAACAAAAAATGATTTTTCCCACAGTTGAAAATTTGAATACCATCTTTTTCATTGCGATTAATCTGTTTATGTAAAATGTGGTAAAATAATAATTAAATGAATCGTTATTAATTATTTATCAAGAAATTTCTAACACTAAATTCATTGAATGAATTAGTTTATTAAAATTTCTACCTTCAAATTTATTCTAAGAAGCAATTTGCTTCATAAAAGGAAATATGGTGAGTGATATCGATTTTGAAATTCCTTTCTTAAATAATGTTTTTTCTCTGAATTTGAGTAATAAGATAGGGATATCTTGGAATTTGTGAGGAATGAAGAATAAAGACGGATTTAGTGCGTAGGTGTATTCCTTTACTACAAAAATACTAAGTAACCAGAGCACTGATTTTTATTTTAAATGATACTTGGAGTTTTTTTCTATATGTTGAAACAAGTCATACGAAATTGTTCCATGAATGATGAAAAAAAATTTTTACTTATAATATTAGTAACTATATTGAAATTGTTTTTTGCAGGAATTGAAATCTAAAAGCATACATATGTCATAAAAAGCATATCCTTAAAAACTTCTGCTTAAAATCAAAATAAAACTGTATCCAAATTTTTAAACACATAAAGATTGGCTTCATTGCTCAACTAGACTATTAGTCGAATTTTCTATCAGATATTTGCGAGATTTTCGACCTCATGGATTCCTAGGGCTCCATGGAATTGTCATAGGGGATCCGGGAATTCGGACATTTAACCAATTATGACTTTTGATACCTGTAGTTATAATCAAATAAAATCAATAAACCATTTATTTAACACAATC